AAAGCTTTTTGAGAGACGATAATCATAGCATTACCTGTATTACTTTTAGAACATCTGGAAACAACCTAAATTTCAGAGTGAAGGGTTAGAATGCATAACCCATGAGGGAGTGTGAACGGAAAATGCAGCTAGACACAGCGTGGAGACTCTTCGCTCCAGAGAGCTTCGAAAGCTAAAGTTTGTGTTTGCTTCGCCTTTTTAAGCCAGGGTCTCACATAGCCTGGGGTAGCCTCAAATTCACTATATATCCGAGGATGACCCTTGAACCCCTCACCTGTCTGCATCTCATCGCCCAGGTGCTGGGATTACAGGTGTCCACCACCAGGCCTGGTTTGTCTGTCTGTCTGTTGAGAGAAGATCCCTATATATCCCTGGTTGACCTGAACTCACCATGTAGACCAAACTGGCCTCACACTTGCAGCCATCCCCCTGCCTCTGCCTCCCAAGTGCTGAGTTTAATGGTGTGCAGCACCACCGCAGTTCTGATGGTTAAATTTTAAAAAGCAGACAAAAATGGTACATTTATTGCTGTTGTACATACAGCTTGGGCAGAAGCCAGAACTGGGGCCTCTGCTATCCTTGTAGTATCCAGACACCTCAGAGCAACTCTGTGACAGAAAGGGAAGCAGAGAGAGAGAGAGAGAGAGAGAGAGAGAGAGAGAGAGAGAGAGAGAGAGAGCAGTTGCCTTGAAAGACTGTCTCCACTCTATCCAGGCCAAACCTGCTCTGGATAACCTGCTGTAGATCTGAGCGCTGGCGCAGGCATAGCAGCTGCAACATCTCTGTTGGGACAGAGACACAGCGCTGAGCACCGTCAGATCTGTCCCTTGTCCCAGAACTCAGAGAGCAGAATGAGGTTCTGGATGATGGTGACCCTCCCTCTACAACTCCACAAGATGTCCTGGAGAAATTTTAAAAAGAAGGCATTGGGGCTGGAGAGATGGCTCCATGGTTAAGGGCACTGGCTGTTCTTGCAGAGGACCCAGGTTCGAATCTCAGCACCCACATAGCAACTAACAACCGTCTGTAACTCCAACTCCAGGGGATCCAACACCTTCTTCTGTCCTCCAAAGGCACTGCATGACACAGGTGCACTTACCTACGCAGACTAACACTCACACACATAAAATAAAAAGAAATCAATCCAAAACAAAAGTTTTAAATAATAAATAAAAAGAAGCCATAAATAAAGTAATAAAAGCAAAAAATAAAAAGCTGTGCTTTCCCGCACCTCGTTGCGTCCGCCATCTCTGCTCTGTTAGGACCCTTGTGTACCCCAGTTCTGGCCAATGTGCAGAGAACAAGAGGCTGCAGAGTGCTGATCCCTGGGTAGGACGCCTACATGAAACTTCTGCCTCCCAAGGCTCAGGGGTCATTGCAGAAAGACGTAAGAGTCAGCGGAGGTGGATGACCTCAAGGAAACAGAGTTTTCCAGATAGGTGATCAGTTACTCATATGAACTCACAACAACATTGACAGCATAGACAAGTCCCAAGTAAGTCCAAGTTAGATAAAATCCCAGCATGGATGTGGGGAGGTAGGTAAGAAACCCCAACCCTCCATGAGGAACTACTGACACCCATGATGGCTGGGAAGGGGAGAGTCGGTCTCAATTAAAGGTTACACTCTCGGTAAGTTGACCTGGCTCCAGTGGATGGATCCACACTAAGGGCATTTGAGGACACAAACCTGACTCTATAGGCCTTAAACACACTGTGTGTGTGTGTGTGTATGCAAAACTTGGTGAGGGATATAAGGGGGGGTGCAGATACAGGAGGAGAAAATATATTTCATTTGCAAAAATTCAATTTAAAAAAAAAGAGCAGCTGAGCATTGTGGGTGCTTGTAATCCCAACACCCAAGAGTCTGAGGCAGGACATTTGCTTCTAGTTCAAGACCAACCCAGCCTACAAAGTGAGATCATGTCTTAAAACAAAACAAAACATACTGGAGAGATGCTCAGCAGTTAAGAGCACTGGCTGCTCTTGCAGGGGACCTGGGTTCGATTCCCAACACCCACATGGCGGCTAACAACCGTCCATAAGTCCAGTCCCAGGAGATCCGACACCCTCCTCTGACCTCCGTTGTCACTGCATGACATGGGTGCATTCATATACGTGCAGGCAATACACACATACACATAAAATAAAAATAATAAATAAAATATTTAAAAAGTAAGTGTCTAGAGAGGAAAAGAAAGAGGACTAGAGAGAATGGAATGGGGACGAGAAACAGTAACAGATAAATATGATCAAAATGCATTAATGTACATTTAGGAATGAAAGTCACTACTATGTATAATTAATCTATGCTAATAAAAAACCTTTCTAAAAGCTAAGTCTCCCTACAGTCATAACCAGGCTCCTCTCCTCACAGGCCCAGTGTGGAGTGACTTAACAGCAGCCCCCTTAGGACTGTACACAGCCTGTTGCTTCTAGGAGTTGCCCTGAGGGACCTTGGGAACAGCTTTCTCGTGGATATTCATGTCCCCAGTCTAGGCTCTAGACAGGTATGTAGGGTACCTCCAGAAAGCCCCTGGGCACAGTGGCCAGAGCTCACACTGACCAGGACACCACGTCCACACCAAGCTGTGACTGAGGCCCTGTTTGGCTCCAAGGTCAAGTTCCCCAACCACAGGAAGATCAAAGAAACAAGGCTTTATCAAGCTGAATGCAGATGAATTTAAAGACACGGAAGCTGAGAATCAGGCCATTTCCCCATGCCTGGGGGTCAAATATAGGTGTCGCCCCTGAACAACCGGCTGGCCCTGCATTGAGAGCTACCGCAGTGCTGAACACCCCTCCCCACTTATCGTGTCTGCTAATAAATCTTACATCTAATCAAAACAAAGCCTCTTTGTTGCCCTGTCCCTTGGTTGCCCTGTCCCTCCTCTACCCAGTTCCCTCTTCCCAGATATAATGAGTGTGACCAGATTCTTCCCTTCCATACACATTCCACATGCAAACAAATACATACACATATACTACAGCATTAAAGATAGCTGAGCTCCTAAAATATGAAAATGTAAAACTTCATTTAAGAATTCAGCAAACCTTCAAGAAGTAATACCTCTGATAACGACCCTCTTTTCATACTCTCTCAGAGGTACTTTGTCTTTCCAGCTAAGGAAATTGGCAAATTCCAGGTAGTTAAGCAGGCCATCGCGATCCACGTCACAGTAGTCGAGCAGCCGGTCCAGGAGCGTCTCGTCCAGGTGCAGGTTGGCCTGGTCACAAGCTTCTTGCAGCTCTTCTCTGTCTATCAGCCCATCTCCCTTCTGTTGGCCAGGAAGCAAAGAAAGAGAAAATGAGCTTGGTCCCCCAGAGCAAAGAAACAGCTCCAGCTCATGCATTCAAAGACCTCAACTTCCACACGTGAAATAGTACATTAGGCAGGATTTATTCTCACTGAATCAACCTGACAGGCACACTCTGTAATTCCAAACCCCAGCAGAGCAGGGCACAGCTTAAAACCTTTTTTAAATGTGCTAGAGTTTGAAGTCAGGGTCTTCACATGCTAAGCACATGCTGCACACTATGTGTACAGCCTCCGTTTACTTTAATCATATTATTTTGTTTGGGTTTTGCCTAAGGCCTCAAGTAGTCCAGGACACACTGAAACTTGACTCTTTAGCTGAGAACGACCTTAAACTCCTGATCCTCCTGCCTCTACCTCCCACTTGCTGGGATGGCAGGCTTGTGCTACCACACCCAGCTTAATCATATTTTTTAAACCACGTTGTTTACGTCCGGATGGAGCAGGTCTAACCATAATACATTCTTGAGATTTCATTTGAGCAATGTTGCATACAACTGACAGCTCATTACAATCTCCATGCTGACAGAATGTTTAATGCCTCCCTGGGCATTACGTGGTTCTCTGTATCACTGCTTATTAATGAGGAAAAATAGGGATGAAGTTGCAAAATACAGGGCGGGGGATTTGAAAACAGCTGCCTGGCTTTGTTTGATATCACTCCCACCAGCAAGACAGATGCTACCAACCCACCAAGTCCAGCCACATCTTAACCCTGTTAAGAGACATTCTGCCAGGGAGGGGAGACCACGTCTCCTTTCACAAGAGTGAAAGACAGAAGTGCCTACACTCAGCCTGCTGGGGGGAAGCTGGTGAGGGCTCTAGAGAGAAGTTGCCTGGTTTACTCGAGAGATAAGGGGCAGAGTACATAGCACTTGTTAAGCAAGAGTGTCAACAGCTAGGGCATCTTACCACTCAGTCCCTTCTGCCATCCATCCAAGAGACAACCTCAGACCCACTCAGAGATGATGCTGAAGAGCTGAGGCCTCTGTATGTGTGTGTGTGTCTCTGTCTGTCTCTGTATGTGTCTCTGTCTGTCTCTGTGTGTGTCTCTGTCTCTCTCTCTCTGTGTCTCATCTGTCTTGTGTGTCTCTGTCTCTCTGTCTCTCTCTGTCTCTGTGTCTCTGTCTCTGTCTATCTCTGCTTGTGTCTCATCTGTCGTGTGTGTGTGTGCGTGCGTGCGTGTGTGTGTGTGTGTGTGTGTGTGTGTGTGTGTATGTGGGATTGTGACAGTGGATTCTGGCTGTTATAACTAAGTAAGCATCAAGCTGGGATTAGCTCAGGGGTAGAGTCCCAGGCAAGTGTGAGACTCAGAGTTCCATCCTCAGCACTGAAAAAAAAATTAAAAAGACTAGAATATATAAGGAACATGTTGGTCCCTCAGAAGGATTTAGTGGAGAGAAACCTGCCAAGGGCAACTTCCCATGAATGAATCATTGAGTAGTGTTGGAGCTATAGCCTAAGTTGAATTTACAACTCTGTTAGCAGTAAGCCCCTATAGAAAAGACCCAGTGAGATAGACCAGTGGATTCAAGATAAATCACTACAGCCCTGGAAAAGTTTCCGAAGCCTTATGTTGAAACAGAATGAACTTAACATATATTACCTTGACAATGGAGTTACAAATGGCCTGCATTAATGTAGAGTCCTTTATAAAAGCCTCTACCTAGCCCAAGCCAACCCAAAACACAAACCTGATACCCAGGCTAAGCTAGATGCTGGCAATAACAATAACTTCACTGCCTAATTCAGGGCCTTTATGTGCTGGGAACATTGGTGGTTTGTTTTCATTGCATTGCATGACAGGATGAAACTCAAAACTGGCCACTGGGGGTTGTGGGAGAGACTAGCGCTCATGTAGCTCAGGCTGGTCTCAACTCATTATGTATTTGAGGGTGATTTAAAAGTTATCAGCTGACTTTCATTGCTAAGAACATGCTTCATGAATTGTAGGAATAATGAGAGTTAACAGCCAAAATCCCTAGCAGCAACTCCCAGTTTGGCAGAGCCATTGACCTTCTACCCCATCCTGGACTGTGTATGTTTAACAGCTGGCTCTGGGGTCAAAGAAGTTGTGGTTATTTGGGAGGGGGGCGTTGTTTGTTGTTTTGGTTTTGGTTTTCCAGACTCACCCAGAATGGCCTCTAGCATGACTCCTCCTGCCCCTCCCTTCCAATGCTGGGACTTGGGCCTGCAGGAGGCCTTCAGAAGGGCCTCCCTCATCTGTAAAAGTTGTACTGTCCATGGTGCACACATACTCATTGGGGCTCATCTATATCTTTCAGTGTGATGTCACCTGGCTTGCAAACTTCCTGAGACCCGCCCCACCCCCACATCTACTGACCACCATCAAGCAGCAGTACTAGCCCCCCGCATCTCCTGCTTTCTCAGCAAAACGCCCCCTAAAGGCGCTGAGTGCAACATCTTGCAGATGACGTTAACCCTCCGAAGGTGTGTCTGCATTACATGATTCTCAGTAATTTCCTCCCTGCTTAGTTTAATTTCATCATACGGAACGTGCCTTGCGGTTTACTCAGTCAGCAGCTACTGAGCTGACCCAGCGACCACCGCATCACAGTGAGCACCTCAAAGCCAAGCTCATGTGCCTGGCAGAGTTCCCTGTTCATGCTGCTACTAGGCAAGTTCTCTCGACACATTTGCAAGCTGCCTAGATTTGACTGAGCAGGAACTGGGAAGTAGCTCTCTCATACAGCACATGTGTGGCAGGTGTGAAGCCAAGGGTTTCATCCCACCACCACCCCTGCCACCAAAAAATAAGTCCTAACCCGTTTAAGCCAAGTGTCATAGTGCACACCTGTAATATCAGCACTTGGGAAATGGAGGCAGGAGGCTCAAGGCTAGCCTGTGCTACATGAAACTGTCTCGACTCTGTGTGTGTGTAAAATTTTAAATGTATTTTTTTTTAATGTGTGTATGTGTGTATTGCCTGCATGTAGGTAAGTGCACCCATGTCGTGCAATTCCCATGGAGGACAGAAGAGGCTGTCAGATCCCCTGGAACTGGAGTTACGGACAGTTGTTAGCTGCTATGTGGGTGCTGGGATTTGAACCCGGGTCTTCTGTGAGATCAGTCAGTGTTCTTAACCGCTGAGCCATCTCTCCAGCCCTAAATGTACTTATTTTAAGTTATATATTTACATTTTAAAAATCATCTTGAGATCAACTTCAAATACCTATTAGTTACATTAAAAGCCAGACAGCCAAATACATTTCTTAAATTGTCTTATTGAGAGAAATGTGGTTGAGTGGTAGCTCATAGATGTTTGGACCCTGTGTGATTAGAGGGTGGAGACAAAGATAAAACAGACCTTCCTGTGTAGCCCTGAACTGGCCTCAAACCCTTGATTCTTCTGCCTCAGCCTCTGGAAAACTGGAATTAAAGTCCATCACTACCATGCCCAGAGTTAGTACAAGTTTAATGGCTACAAGAAAGATAGATGATTGATAGATAGATGATTGATAGATGATAGAAAGATGATAGAAGATAGAGGATAGATAGAGATAGATAGATAGATAGATAGATGATTGATAGATGATAGAAGATAGATAGATGATAGATGATAGATAGATAGATATCTTAATTTTAGAAAATCAAATCACCAGATTTATGCTGTGGTTGGATATGATGATAGATAGATACATAGATAGATAGATGATAGATAGATAGATGATAGAGAGATGACAGAATGAGTATTTTGTTCATGCATACACGGGCATGTAATCCAAAAATCTAAAGACAAAACATCTAGGCCTAAATGACACATCCAGTGAGCAGTCAGTATTTTATTTCATGGAAGGTGAACTGTAACTTTTCAAGCATGTTCAGCAGGGGAAGAAAAGAGGGATATTTCTCTTTCCCTTTTTAAAATTTTTCTGCTCTTTTCTCTCCCATATCAAGACTGTGATATGGAGGGAGGCCTCAGTAGTAGAGCCCAGTACTGAAAGAGAGAGGCAGAGAGATTAATACAAGCCAGATGTGTAGGCCCCTGCCTATATTGAGGCAGGAAGATCAAGATCCAAGGCCAGCATGGGCTATTCTCTCCCATATCAAGACTGTGATATGGAGGGAGGCCTCAGTAGTAGAGCACAGTACTGAAAGAGAGTGGCAGAGAGATTAATACAAGCCAGATGTGTAGGCCTCTGCCTATATTGAGGCAGGAAGATCAAGATCCAAGGCCAGCATGGGCTGCACAGAGAGACCCTGTCTCTCTCTCTCTCTCTCTCTCTCTCTCTCTCTCTCTCTCTCTCACACACACACACACACACACACACACAACTATGTAACTTATAATTTGACATGATATGTGTATTTAAAGAATTACATAGTAGCTAGGCGTGGTGGTGCACACCTTTAATCCCAGCACTCGGGAGGCAGAGGCAGGCAGATAGTGGATCTCTGTGAGTTTGAGGCCAGCCTGGTCTACATGGTGAATTCCAGGGCAGCCAGGGATACACAGTCTCAAAAAAAAAATAAAAATTAAAGTTTGTTTTGTCTTCAGTTCTGGTCTTGGCACAAATGTGAGTCGGGCTTTATTTGTATCTCAGAGTGCCATGCTACAATACGGCATACTCAGGCCACCCTAAATAGTTTGTAATCATTTGTTGCAAACTTGTGACTGTCTCTATTAACTTTCTTCCATGTTAGTAATTTGTACAAGTTTTTTACAAATTTTGCTTTCGTTTGTTTGATTTTGGAAAGTTAAATTCACAATTAGAAAAAAAGACTGTGCTTTCAACCACATTACGACAAGCCTGCATTTGAATTAGGCTTCTCGGATGGTTTCTAGAGCTGCTAAAACAGCTCAGCTGATAGAGGCACTCACACACAGGCCAGACCACCTGAGCTCCATCCTGAATCCCACAGGAGGAAAAAAAAATTTAAGCCACTTAAGGTGATTTCTAGGCTACCTAGAAAACCAGTCTAATTGAGACATAAAAATGGGTAGTAGAAAATTCAGAGCAAAATAAGAGTGAAAACAGGAAAATGAACCATGGAATTCAAAAGCCTACAAAATACATGCTATGAAATCATGTTCCTAGACCTTTGTTTGTTGGTGTGTTTGTTTAATCAGCTCTGAGCTTCCTGGCAACCAAGGCAAAAAGCTATGCACAACCAAGCAAGTAGGAGCATAGCTTAGCGCAGGCCAGGTATTTAGCCCGTGTAAAGTCCGAGTTTCAGTCCCCAGCACCAAAAACTAAATGAACAAATTAAATTTAGAGCGGCTTAAAAATGAGCTGTCTTTGGCTAGGGATATAGCTCAGCTCAGATGATGGCGTGCTTGCCCAAGAGCCAGGACTTCCATCCCCAGCACATATAAACTAGGCATGGTGCTACGTAGACCCCTGTAATCCCAGCACTTGGGAGGTTGAAGTGGAGAGATCAGAAATTCCAGGTCATCCCCTGCTACTTAGGGGGTTGGAGGCCAGCCTGGGCTGTAAGAGACCCTGTCCCAGATTTTTTTAAAAAAATTAATCTTGCACTCTTAGGATGAACACCATTTCCTGCTCCCCAAGGGAACAGGAAAACCCGAGTTAGACCTAGGCTGAAGGTGCTACATGTAAACACTGAGATTTAAGCATAAGACTGTCAAGTGTCCCTCGGAGATGCCCAGAGCTGCACTTGTCCTTGCTCCAGGACCTGGGCTTTAAAAGTCCACAGGAAAGGATCGCATGCCTGTCTGTGCCTCAGGATCACCTCGACTGAAGTCCACAGCTCCTCACTATGTGGCCTGGGGTCGGCCTTGGAGTGAGCATTTCTAACAGGTCTCCAGGCCTCTGAGAGTGGGGAAGGAGCCACACTTTGACAGGCTCAAATCTACACCAGGGCTCAGCCTATCTTTCCTAAGGGCCAAGTGTTAAATATCAAACCATTACTATGACTCACTTCTGCTTATATGGAGGACAAATCTGCCAGAGACAATGCTTAAAACAGCACACAGATGTTTCAACTAAATTTTACTTACAAAGACAAGTGGCGGGCTGGATTTGACCCACAGGCCATAGTTTCTCGACCACCAGTCTGTACCAACCTGCTTGGACTTGCCTATATATCATAACCCAAAGCTCTACAGGACTACTGACCTTGTCATAGTGCCTGAAGGCCTCCAGCAAAGTGTCAAAGTGCTGGTGATTGAACTTCTTCAAGTGGTGGCGAGCAGCTGCAATCAGGGCCCGCTGTCGATCTGTCCCTCGAAGGCATTCACCTGAGGGTCTGTTGTGGATGAGGTCACCAGCTCCTATGGAAGAAAGAGTCTTTGATGCAGAGCGTGTCCATAGTGTGTCCATCTTGAGAAACAGACCTAGTCACCTCTATGTATGAAAACACAAAACAAAAAATATCTAGCTCTGACACCTCTCCCCATCTTTGGATTTTTGGGACAGGGTCTCACGTAGCCCAGGCTGGCCTCACTAAACTCACGGCATGACTATCTCAGCCTCCCAATGTGAGGATTACAGCTGTGGGCCACCATGCTCCACTCACTCTGACACTATTATGCAGAATATTTTTTGTGTATAAAACAGTACTTAAAGCAACAGATTTAAAAAGTTAATGATGGGGGCTGGAGAGATGGCACAGAGGTTAAGAACACTGGTTGTTCTTGCAGAAGACCCTGGTTCGAATCCCAGAACCCACATGGAAGCTAACAACTGTCTGTAACTCCAGTTCTAGGGGATCCGATGCCCTCTTCTGGCCTCCCCAGGTATTGCATGACACACTGTACGCACAGCATTCTATTGTCGTTCTCTTGGGGAGCAGAGGATGGTGTCCACCCTAAGACACACATACGGGCAAAACACTCATACACATAAAATAAAAATGAATAAAAATTTAAAGCTAGTGTTTCTAGAGTGGGGGGGTGGTTCGTGCACGTGAGTGTGCAGGTGTGTGCACATGTGTGTGTGCATGCAGAAGCCAGAGCAGGACTTGGGGTATTTCCTCTGTCATTTCCACCTTCTTTGAGGCAGGGTCTCTCACTGAACAGGAAGCTCATCTTTCCAGATAGGCTGACTGTCAGTGCTCTCTCAGGACCCACCTATGTCTGACGCCCAGCGCTGGAATTACAGGCATGCACAGCCATTTTGGGCTTTTCTACATAGGTGCTGAGGATTCGAACTCAGGTCCTCATGTTTGCACAGCAAGCACTCTTACCACTGCGCCCAGCCTACTCTCTGCTCAAGAAAGAAATCTACTCGGCATTGTGCATCATGCCTGCAAGCCTAGCACTCAGGAAGCTGCGTGAGGAAGATCATGAGTTCAGCCTGAGCTACACAGTTGTAGGCTAGCCTGGGATACATGGTAAGACCATATCTCAAAATACCAGGAAAAAAGAGAGAAAATAATTGATATACAGCCCAAACCTACAATTCTAGTAACTGATAGCGTATTCCTTCCCTTCTGATGTCTACCACTTTGTTTCTGCAGCGCTGAGGACTGCAGGAAGGGCCGGAGCATGTAGGCACGTGCTCTGCACTGAGCCATAGTCCCCACCCTGAAACGAAGACAATCCTAAGCATCCGTGGTGCACACAACTGCAATCCTAGCACTTGGGAGGCCAGACAGGAGGATGTCATGAGTTCAGTGGGCTACACAGTAGGACACGTCTCAAAAAAAACTGGGTATGTTGGCATGGTCCTGTAATCCCAGCAGCTGGAAGGTGAAGGCAGGAGGATCAGGAGTTCAAAGCCATCCCTGGCTACATAGTGACTTTTGAGGTCAGTCATGTGAAATCCTATCTCGATAACCAATTTTTAAAAACAAACACCTAATAACATATTTTCTGCTACCAATGGATTGGTTGATTGATTGACTGACTGGCTAAAGTGGTCTTAATCATGTGGTTGTAGGAAAGAATAATGTTATCTCTCCTCTCTCTCTCTCTCTCTCTCTCTCTCTCTCTCTCTCTCTCTCTCTCTCTCTCTCTCTCTCTCTCTCTCGCGCGCGCGCACGCGCCCGCGTGTGTGTGTGTGTGTGTGTGTGTGTGTGTGTGTGTGTGTGTGTTTGAGGACGTAGTTTAACAGTAAGGCACTTGCCGAGTACTGTGCAAAGCCCTTGCTGGGTTCAAAAAAAAGATTTTTAGACAGGGTCTCCCTCACTCTATTGCCCAGGACGTCCTAAACTTAAAACAATCCTCCTGCTTCACCCTCCCCAGTACTGAGATTACAGTATGAACCATCTTGCCTGGCTAGCTAGAGTGCTTTACAATTTTAATGTATTTACAGCTGGGTGTGGCAGCTCACACCTCTTATCCTAGCACTCGAGAGGACAAAACGGGATTGCAACAAGTGTTAGGCCAGAGTGAGCTACCAGTGAGACGTATCTCAAAAAACAACAGCAACAAAAGTAAACAGAAGTAAATGTGTTGCTGTGTGTGTGGTAGCGCACGCCTGTAATCCCAGAATTTGGGAGGCAGAGGCAAGGGGATTAGGAGTGGAGGAAAGGCCAGTCTCACCTTTACATAGCAAGTTCGAGGCCAGCCTGAGCCACAAGACCCTGCCTCAAAAACATCAGCAACACATACACACATACACACACACACACACACACACACACACACACACACACACAAACAGCTTGTGATTCTGCAGTTCTGGGGTGGGGCCTAATAGTCTGGCCTTGAATTTACTGAGGTCACCTTGCCTCTGCAGCCTGAGTGTAGGGATTGGGATTAAAGGTGTGCACCACTATACCCAGCTAAGTCTTCGTTTCTAAGCACCGTATCAAGAAGTGTTGACCTCAGTTTGAGTAGCAAGGGCCTGGAACAATAGGTTAACTGAAAAATTGCCTCATCTTACTTTGAATGTTTTAATATTTATTTTCTAAATAAAAGCCAATGCCTTGACCACACTTAAGGTATTAATTACAAGGCCTTTAAACTTCAAACATAATATGAAAACAATTCTTATATTATTTTTCTCATCAATGGTAGGGAAAAGCTTTCATGCTTTCATATTAGAAGGTTTGAGGTACAAAGTCAGTGGTAGAGTGCTATGCCTTACATGCACAGTGTCCTGGCCTCAACCCTCAGCAGCACAGGAAAACAATACATATATGATGGGTAGATGGATAGACTTATGGTGAATGTAATAGCATAACTTCATGGGGATTTTTTTTTTTTTCAATAGAAAACAGAAGTTTTACTCTACTACAAGAAACAGCAAGCTGGGCAGTCCAAGAATCCCACCTGCAGCCCTTTATGGGGATTTTGGGGGGTTAATAAAGGCATTTTAGGGGCTACAGAAATGGCTCATCAGTTAAGAGCGCCTGTTCACACCTGCCTGTAACTCCAGCTCCAGGGGATGCGACACTGTCCTCTTAGACTCTGCTGACATTGGCACTCACACATGTACGTATCAGTGCCCCTACATACACATAATTAAAAGTAACATATATTTTTTAAATAAAGGCTTGAGGGTTAAAGGAAAAAAAGAAATAAACCAGGGGAGACAAGAAAAAAAAGACTCAGAAAGGAAGGCACATCCCAGACATGGTGCGGGACTCTCTGAGAGTCGCACTCTTTGAGGATTTGTGACAGCGCTTGTTTGTTTGTCCAGAAAGTTTGCACATTTACCATATTCCTCAGGCTGGAGACATGCTCCAAATGTGTGGTCTGGGGGGACGTTCATCGTTTCTGCAATGCTGTCAGAGAGAACAAAGCCTTCACTTAGAACACCCACCACATGGTATCACTTAGGCCCTATGTAGCCCAGGCCTGCTCCCATAGATAGAGAATCTAGATTTCCCCATAAGATCCTCTGTCTGACAGGCCATGTGCATTGACAATAGATGAACGCTTCCACTGTGGACCAAGTCCAGAGAAGGGAAATGCCTTCCAAGCAACAACGCCAAAATGATTACTTTTCTGACATCCCAGAAATAAAGCTTAACACAAAATTCTCCTTCCCTCTTATCCAAAGGTTTGCTCCATATTTAAGAGCTCACTGCTCTTAAACTGCTTTCTTGGAAACTCAAATTCTATAAGAATAACAGTATTCCACCACCAACAATAGGGGAATCATTTTCTGATTTAACAAATACAACTTAGTAGAACACAAACCAACATTTTAGGGTTTGTTTTGTTTTATTGTCTTTGAGACAGGGTCTTCCTGCAGCCCCAGCTGGCCTGAACTTGCTATGTAGACCAGGCTGGCCTCAAACTCACAGAGATCCGCCTGCCTCTGCCTCCCGAGTGCTGGGACTAAAGGTATGGACTACCACGCCTGGCTTTTTTTTTTTTTTTAACGTGAATGAGTGTTTTGCCTTACATGTATGTAAGTGCACCCGTGTCATGCAATGCCCAAGGAGGTCAGAAGAGAATGTCAGATTCCCTGGAACTCAAGCTCCAGATGGATGTTAGCCGCCATGTGGGTGCTGGGAATCAAACCTGAACCTGGGTTCTCTGCAAAAGCAGCCAGTGGTCTTAACTGCTGAGCCATCTCTCCAGGCCCCATTTTGGGTTTTTAGTCAGGATCTCATGTAGCCTGTGTTGCCTTCCAACTTGAAAATGTAGCTGAGGATGACCTAGAATTCCTGATCCTCTAACCTCAACCTCCCAAGTACTAAGATCACAAATATATGCCATCAAGCCCACCCACCCAACCACTTTTTAAATTTGATACAGCCAGGCATGGTGGCGCACACCTTTAATCCCAGCACTCAGGAGGGAGAGGCAGGTGGATCTCTGTGAGTTTGAGGCCAGGCTGGTCTACAGAGTCAGCTTGAGATTATGCAGTGAGATGCCCCTCTAATTAATTAATTAAATAAACAAATAATTAAATTTGATGCAAAGACACTAGCAATATGAAGTTAATCATGAACTTACGGATCTAAAACTTTTCCAAGTTTATGTTGAAACTTTTCTTTGAAGTCATCGACTCTCTTGGATACAATTTTAGCTCCTTTTTTCCTACAAAATTAAAAAGAAAATTATCAGGTATCTTTATTATTTAAAGTATTGACTATAAGCTGGACGTGGTGGTACACAGGCACTCCAGGCCAGCCAGGACTATAGAGTGAGACCCTGTCTCAAAAAGCCAAAAGTACACATGTAATAAAAAATAAAAAGTATCGTAGTGTTACTCCACCTTCAGTGAACAAATCTAGTTTCAAAAGAAATCCCATGTTTAATAGCAAGCTGTATATGTTGAGTTTTCTATGACATACTCTATATAAAAAATAGAGCAGTAAAGATTACAGTGGTAGACCTGTTGCCTAGCATGCCTGTCTCAAAAAGCCAAAAGTACACATGTAATAAAAAATAAAAAGTATCGTAGTGTTACTCCACCTTCAGTGAACAAATCTAGTTTCAAAAGAAATCCCATGTTTAATAGCAAGCTGTATATGTTGAGTTTTCTATGACATACTCTATATAAAAAATAGAGCAGTAAAGATTACAGTGGTAGACCTGTTGCCTAGCATGCATGAGGCTCTGGATTCAATCCCAGCCTTGAAAGAGAAGGGGGGGAGGAGGAGGAGGGGGAGGGGGAGGAGGACTTTGGCAATTTTGTAGCTCATGGCCCTCTCCTGATCATCAGATACTATA